GGGCGAGAAAGGCCCGTTCGTAAGTGCGGATCCGACATAAGTCGGATCCACGTAAGTCGGGGACTGCCTGTACATGGATTTTCTGAACCTACACCAAACTGTAAGGTCTAAAGTTTTAAACTATAACTCATTGTGATCTTTGTCAAATTTTGTAATCTGTGTAACTTTCAAACTTACTGTAAACTGCAACCTTGTAATCTTTGTAACTCTCAGCCACCTTGCTTGTAACTTTCCCTAAGCTGTATTCTCTGGAGTAAATAGAGAGTGAGAGTGTGAGAGTGTGTTTGAAGAAGGCTTGGACCAATGGAGCACATTTAAATGAGTCATCACAGTATGGACATGCTCTCTGCTGGATAAAGGAAGTCTAGGCATGCTTTCTGTTGGATAAAGGGAAGCCTGGGCATGCTCCCTGATGACGAGGTGAATGAGTCACAGGAGCCATTCAGACACTATATAAAGAGAAGAAGCATATGTGAAACTCTCTCTTTTTCCTTTTCCTGCTCCGGAGAAGCTCCTCTTCAGTGTCTCTCCTCCTAGCCAGCTTCCCTAGCCAGCATGAGCAGACAGACCCTCCAGGATCCACATGCCTTGGCTCCTTCTGCAACCCATATGTGTGTGTAAGTGTGTGAGTGCCTGAGGGCAGGAATGAATGGGTGTGAATGAATGAATGAATGGGTGTGTGTTTGCTTGTGTGTGTGTGTGTGTGTGTGTGTGTGTTTGAGAGAGAGAGAGAGAGAGTTCTATCTTCTTTAGTTTAAACCTTTGGTGGCTGCTTTCTCCTCTTTAGTCTTACCTAGTGGAAATAAACCCATACTAGTGTAACCCTGGGTGGTCTCCAGTGATAATATTTTTGGGGTAAGAGATTTCATTCTTTTATTTCTGCCTTTTCTGTACAGCTTTTTTTTTTTGGGGGGGGGGGGGGAGGAGAGGCAGGAGGGGCTACAAATGCTGCAGTCCAAACACTTTCAGGCACATAAGGAGGAACAAGAAGAGCTGGTGACTTTAGTGTTAAATCTCCTGACTGACTGTGCAAGTGTACTGTACTTAGCCACAATAATGCCAGTAAGGCTTTTAATATCATATACAGTAGACTTCTAGTTTTGTAGGTAGAGTTGGTAAGGCCTCCTATAGTTCAGGTTGCTCCACACTTTCTGTTTTCCCAGTTTTCAGGTGCTTGTAACTTTGCCAAACCTTAACCATTGGGATTGGAATTTGCCAGGCTGGGTTTCTGCCTTAGGCCGATTTTTTGGGGGACAAGTTTAGCAAAAATGGTGTGGCTGTTTTTCTGACTGAGGCTAGGGGAAAATATGTTGTTTTATTCATCTAAAAAAATTCTTACATGCTTCATTGAGAAATTTTAGCACCTATCATGCTTTGGAGAAGGGACTGGAAATATAACCTTGGTGTCAGTGATGTGCCTTTTGCCATTCTGTGAGGAAAAAAGCCATCAGACTTTGTTAAGTTTTGGGCACTTGAAAATCTCAGTGTGCACATGCTCAGTAGATAATTTATAGAATTCAGCAGCGCCACCCTGTGACTGCAGAGCTGTGCAGCTGCTCTTTTCTGATTGGCCTCCTGAAGGTACCAAAATATAGCTGGTGGGGGCTGCATAGTGTCAAGGCACAGTTGTGACAGATGTAGGAAGTGAGGGCAGGGACCCGCTGTGTCAAAAAGTGGCGTAAACCTCCTTTTTGAGGAAAAGCTCTGCTTTCGAATGTGAAATTGGAAGAAGATATGGAAATTCCCATGGAATTTGCACATCATCTTTTGACCGTTCCATGTAGTCTAGATATGCCCGGTCTGTCCCATGCATCCAGTGTTGCTCCTGCCCAGGCAGAAAGAATGAGAAGAACAAACGGATGGGATACACTCAGAAAGGTGAGGAGCAGGGTCTGTAGGGGTGGCGAGGGGGCCAATTGTGACAAGGGTCTGCACAGGATGCAGTTGTTCTTGGGATGATATGGGAAATGACCCAGGGTCTATATCAGAGCTGGGCAAGGTGCAGCCCAAGGGCCAGATCCGGCCTGCCTACCACTTTGATCTGGCCCATGGGCAACATCTGGCCACTCTCTAGTTATATCCTGCTGTTCATGCTACCAAATTTCTAGGCAGCAGGACCCTGTTTACATGGATCACTGCTCCTGGTTGCGCTGCTACCCCGGCAGGGGCTGGAGCCACAAGTCTTTTAAATTGCTACTATTTAAAGGGTGTGCAGCTCCTGGACCTGCTGCCATTTGTTGCTTGAGAGCTGCCGGGGGTTACTGCAGCTATTTAAAGGGTTCCCAGTCACAATGCTGCCCTGGCAGGGACCATAGCTGTGAGCTCTTTAAATAGCTGCAGCAGCCCTGGATGGCTGCTAGGCAATGTGGTAAAGACTGGGCCAGGATTTACAAGCCCTTTGCTGTGTTTTTACTTCAAAACTTCTGGCCTCAGACAACTTTGGGGGGATGCTAGTTCAGCACCCAACCCCTTCTGCCAAAGGCCTTGACCCTTCTGAGGGTGGAACTGGCCCATCACCATGTATTAAAGTTCATTAAGAGGCCCCCTGCAAAAATTATTGCTCACCCCTGGTCTATATGCTACAGACTAATTGATTAACTTAACCCTCTGAGTGCCTTAGAATGAACCAGATATCTCTTGTGAAGGAGACTTTTGTTTTGCTGAAGCATGGAATGCCCATACAGGCCAACTGGAATATATTACCTGTTCTGTAGCTAGCTTAATAGCAAATATAACAAGAAATGATAAACTGTAGGTATAAAAGGGAAAAAAGACACTCATGATCTTTAGCCTTAGAAGCTTACTTGGTTTTTCTTATTTGCCTTGGAAGTTACAAGTACAAAGGCTGTTGCATTTGGCTTCCTTGCTATCCCAGGATGCTCTGTAAAGAAAAAAATCCAATTGACTAAGTTTTTCTGGAGAAATAGTAAGGCCTCTGCTCTTTATCCATCTTCACTTCTTTGAGGCTTTTGACTCTGCTGATTATACTCCCCTGCTTGCTCTTTTGACTGCTTTTTTTTCCTGTGGCTGGGCTCATTCCGGAAGAAAGAATTTCATCCTCTTGGACCAGCTGCTGAAAGAGCTTCATGCATGAGTTTGACTCTTGTGGCATACTAGGGGAAGACTGGAGTCTGAGTGAGCATGGTTGTCTTATATAGATGGCATTCCACTCAGGGTCTCTCGGATCAGAATCAAGATCTTGAATTTGATCTGTTAGACAGTGTGGAGCACAGAGAATACTGATAGGCTTCTAGCGATTAGTGACATTCAGGGGCCAGTCTGCTGCAGTGTGGACTGATTGAAGTTCTCAAGCTTTTTAAAATCATCCCCAGTTCACAACTTCTTTGCACTTTGTGCAGTCACATAGTCATAGTAAGTTGATGAAAAGTGGGTCTCAAATGCTTCCTAATCTGAGATATCCTTTACAAGAGATATCTGGTTCATTCTAAGGCACTCAGAGGGTTAAGTTAATCGATTAGTCTGTAGCGTATAGACCAGGGGTCAGCAATAATTTTTGCTCGGCTTTGTATCCACTTACACAGTGTAAAGTGACAGCCCAAGGAGCCAGGCATCAGACAAATATCCCCAGAGTTGCTGTAGTCCAGCCTGGAGGACATGAAGACTGGATCATGATGACCAAATCATACAACAATGATATTTGCTCCTGACCTCCTGCTGATGAAGAAGGTGTTATGGAAAATGTAGCCATATCTGTTCAGGAGTCCTGTTAAATCACAAAGTTGTGAACTTACTTAACACAGGTTTTCATCCTAAGGAACTGCTCTCAAGTAGACCTGGGAATACGTAGCTGAGAGTTTGAGTGTGGTTGGATTTAGGTCAGTAATTTCCCTCAGTGGATTCATCTGGCTATTAAATGGGTTTGGGGGTTTGTGTAAAAATGGACTCTTGTGAAATGTCACATATGAGTGCATATGTCACATATAAATGTATCCTTGATTCTCGCCACACTCCTGAGTAAGGTGTCACAGGAAGGGATAGAAAGGGTACGATTCCATATGAGTAGTTACACAGATAGTGCTGCAGACAGTACAGAGCTACCTTTATTACAACATTTAGGTCAGGGACCATCAAGCTGAAGATTGTGCAGACTTCACAACTACAGAGTTAAGGGAAACCTCTATGCTCCAGGAAAAGCTTTTGTTTGTATTTTTAAGAATAACTTCTTGTGACTCTTACAGGCTCCAAGTAATAGATGAACATTTCACTGCTGACAAAACTAGGAATTAGTTCAGTGACTGTGAACACCCATGGGGGTATAATGTGCATCATCTTTATTATGGAACACACTGAGTTTCTGGACATCTTTCTTCCGTCCTATAAACAGTACCTCGTGTGTTGTTGTTGCAAGGAGTCTTGAGAATAGGGTGCTGAAAAATGTTACTGGTTATGTACTCGCTATTAGACATTCAAGTGAAAGATAGAGAGACTTGATGCTTTCTTGAGAACAAGGTGAATCGAGGCACTTCAGTAGTGTGTGCTTTGTTTTAAGATGCTTATGTTACACTTAACTGAGGAGCTGTACATTTTTTCAGTTGTTCCTTTAATTTTCATCATTGCCTCCTACCCTTGTATGTCTTTCTACTTGCCATTTTAGCGCAAATGTACCTCAGATTTTACTGCAGCTGGATTCTGCCAGTCTTTCCAGTTGATCCTGGAGCCAATGCTTATTTAATGATGCAGCACCATCATTATACATTTATTCTCATAGATGATCACTCTAAGGAGCGACCTCTTCTGCTTAACAACTTGGTATTTTGTAAAATGCTGTTAAACAAAGCCAGTGTAATTCCTGACCTGTTGGGGGGATACTTGAGACATATCTCTCATGAACAGCAGATCTATGCATTAATCCTGTGTTTTTGGGTCTTTACTTGCTTTAAATATTTGCTTCTAGATCTTTGTTTCACACATTTTATTTACATGGTTTAGTTTTTATTTTATGAAAAATCGATAACCAGACAGACTCTTTACCACACTGGATTAGTTTTATTTATTCTCTTTGAACTTGATTAAAAAGCTGTCAAACATAAGTGTACATTTTATCAGCAGAATACTTTTACAAAACAGGGTGGAAGATGTTTATAGCTGGAAACATACATTTCAAAATAAAACAATATTTGATATATTCTAGACAGTTACCCCTTTGTTTATCCATGACAACTGAAACTAACCATCAAATGCATAAATTGATTCAAGTCTAGCCAAGTAATCCTAAGGGCATATAAAAAGGCTTTTTTTAAAGTTCTTTCTAGATGAATTTAATGTAGTTCACCAATAAAGCATCCTCAGGAGCATAATAAAAATTCTACATAACATGACATAGCTAGGGAAAACGGGAAGACGTACAATGTGATGAAGAATCAAAATAGATATTACATTAAAAATGAGCAGTCATGCAATTGCTAAATTTCATGTACAGTATTTAAAAGACAAAATATCTAGGCTTTAATTTTGTGCTGGAATATTTTAGACAGAATGTTTATAATACTGTAGTAAGTGCAGCTCACTCACTCTTTTCTCTCTCTTTAAACATATTCATTGGAAACTGTTTTGAACTGCCACTTTTGCTAGGGGAAAAATTACTATTCAACATGTCTTCATAACTTTCACTATACATCAAAGAGAAAAGGTATGTGATATTTACACCAAAAATTGGTTATGAATTATGAAACATGTCTATTTCAATTTAATTGCTTTTAATATATTTTTACAAACATTAACCCACAGTGCTGTTTATCTTCTTGTGCCATTGAATATGTTAGTAAACAGTAATTCCTTTGTTTTTTTACCATATTCTTAGATCCTACAAATCCATGGATATCCATGGCTCACTTTTGTGAATATGGATGCGAATGCAGATGCAAATTTTCTATCTAGAACCCCGCAGATCTCTGGATATCTGCTTTATATCTGCAGGTACCCATATCCACAGATGTGGATGTGGATGTGGATATCTACTGTTTATTTTGCAGATACAGAGGAGGATGCAGATACAAAATGTTGTATCCGCGTAGGTCTCTGCATATTCTACATATCCAGCTGGAAAGTAATGGGATGAAAAATGAGTCCTGGAATTCTAGCAGAATGAAACTCTCAAAGGGTTAATGTAGAATACATATAGGCAAATGTTGACAATATTTTTTATTCCAATGTTTGAAAATTAAACACAAAATCATCATTAAGTTTTCACAAAATGAGGCATCTGTCACTTGAAAGAAAAAGAAATATTTCAGAAATATGTTTACAGAAATGTAAAAATATTAGACATCAAGACAGATGTGAACATTTTCAATAACAGGCCCTGTCTGTCAGTCTTCCTCAGAGCTGAAGATCTTATTGTACTCACTTAACATAAGTTCAACTATCTGGTTTTGGTATAGCATGTGTACTGCCATGTTCCCTGTCTCCATTTCAGGTCTAAGGAGTGTTGGGCCAAATACAATTCCTAAGCTTTGTGGTGACATAAGATTCACGGATTCCTTGGCTGCTATCCTGTTGACAAAATGAAAGAATTGGTTAAAATTGAGGGACTTCAGAGAAGGTTCTATTACACTTAAAGGAGAGAAACACATGTTATTGATTTTCCTTTCAGAAACATTTATTTGGTTAAATTATCAAAAAGAGAGAAAAGGGGAGAGGGAACAAAAGTCAGTAACTTCTGGCAACATGACAAATGATGAAAACAAATTTATTTGTAGACAGCAAGACTTTTATTGAGTTGAGAACTGAGGCCTGAATTTCAGTACTCAGGTAGCAGAGCACAATTACACAACTAATTTAAGTGCACAAATCTGTGTATTACTTATTTGTATGCACTCGTAGCTGGATGGACACTGCCCTATTATTTCCATTTAGCCTCTGGGAATGAATATCAGGCCCTGAGGGTTGGGAGACAATCAGATTTCTTAGGGGACTCCTGGAAGGAGACTACCTACTTGTTTTAGCAAATCCCCAATACTAGTGCAGAGTATGTGTGCACGGAAAAATTAAATGAAAGTCCACATGAAACTTTGCCACTTCTCCCAAGCTCAACCCAGTTATTTAAGGGGTGCATGAATGGAAAGATACATTTTAATTCTTTGTTTCAAGGAATCTCAATATGTGTGATATGTCTATCATGACACAAGGCTTCCTTAAAAAAAAAAAAAAAAAAAAAGACCCTCCATCTTAAATGAAAAGCTTTTGAAAATAATGCTCAGGATTACAGCATTAGATATGTTGTTTTCCATATAATTTATAAAGCTGTTGGCTACAGTATTAATATTACATGTTGATATTCTGTATTGAGAAGACTTTTACAGAGAAGACCTTAAAGTCTCATTGGGTACGTCTATACTACCCCGCTAGTTTGAACTAGCGGGGTAATGTAGGCATACCGCAATTGCAAATGAAGCCCGGGATTTGAATTTCCCGGGCTTCATTTGCATAAGTGGGGTGCCGCCATTTTTAAAGCCCCGCTCGTTCGAACGCCGTGCCGCGCGGCTACACGCGGCACGAACTAGGTAGTTCGAACTAGGCTTCCTAGTTC